TCCTGGACTGAATTATTCTGCCAGTCCACACCTGGCTGAGGGAGTTTAAATGGCTTCGATTCGAGCAAAAAAACAATACCATGAACTGTATCTACTGCACAAGATGTGGTCCACAACATGCAGAGAAAAAAACAAGTTTGCTGAGGCAACTTGCACCGCACAATTTATCTTAACACCTTAATGAAGCACAAGAGCAGCTTAAAACATAAACTATGCTGAGAAACGTCCAGTATGTGCATTTGTAAAGCACCATTCAATTAAACTGTTACTGTCAACTAAAATAAAACAGCACATTCTAGTTTCTGTATTAACTACCAAAGCATTTATCAGTAATACAGTTAAAATGGGGAAAATTGCGTTGCAGGTCGATTTAAGGTGTGCTCCCCTGAATTCTCTGCCTGTGCCCCTAAAATGTTAAGTTAAGGGCCACAGTGCTCCTAGTGAAAAAAGTTAGTCTGGAGCTCTGCATAACTTAACACAGCTTATTCATTATATCAATTAATATACTGAAGGAGACATGGGGAGTAAACTCAGCTCAATAAATCTTATCCATCTATTCTTTAATTTATAATCACTGCTTATTAGTAACACACTGAGTTTTAGCTTTTGGTTTGGGAGGGAAAAGAAAAAATGTGACCGACAAACGAATAAATATTAATCTTGCCTCCAAGGGGTGACTTTTTGTGCCGCAATAAATATTCATAGCAGGACGTAGCCTGGTGCGACTTTGGATGTTTTCTTTAATTGGAGGTGTGGATTGAGCGGAACAGGTTTCCCGCGGGTTGACTCATGTCAGCCGTCCCTTTCACTCGGCTGTGAAAAAGCTGTTGCGGCAGATATGGATTAGCGTCAGAGCATCGCAGGGCAGGTATTACATGTCTCTGGTGGCACTGCCAGCGCTGCCCCCTGACTACTAATAATCTCTGTTGTCTTGTGTCTTCGGGCGCCGCTTGGCGAATGCTTTGGACGACTGTTTTGTACTGGTGCCAATCCTAATGCTTGGTCTTCTTGGCAGATCAGAGGTAGGAGAGGAGAGAAAAGAGATGGAGAAAGGTTGTCAAAATACCTCCTCATCCCCTCCCCAGTTGCTTCCTCTCCATTTCTTCTTCTACTCCACCCTTGCTGCCAAAAGCTGGAAAGAGATCAAAGGAGGCCAACATGAAAGGCATCCCTGAGATTCTGTTTTTCGGTTCCCTGTCTGCCTACTCTCTCCGTTACAGATATGGAAATGCTGAATCCCAAATACAGCCCATACCTAGGCTGCAGAGAATGCCTGGCCTCATCCTACTTTCTTTCTCTTTTCCTTTTGCTTCCTCTCCTCTCCTCCACCTCATCTCACCCCTTCATCATCTCTCTCTCCATCCTCTGTTCGTGCCGCTCTCCAGCAGCCCTCAGGCTTCCAGGTAGATAGTGGTTGATTGGCAGCTGCTGTGACTGTCAGTGGAACCGGCTGAGAGTGGATGAGTGTCAGCCTTGCTCCAGGGGCTTAAGGCAGCAGCAGCGTTGTAGCATCCTGCTGGAGTGAGAGAGAGGCCCATGAAATAAGACTCAGTCAGTTCTTCTCTTTTCCTCGCTTCTCTCAACTGAAGCAGGTAGGAGCTAAATAGGTTTTTCAAATCGCTCCAGAGTTTATCCTGAGACTGGAAACTGTAACATTTCTTCAACCCACATCCTGTCATGTGCTTTCCTTCTCTTATGCCTCTTTGTCGAGCTTTTGGTTTTGATATAATTGTGTTTTATTGCAGGTTGTAGCATCTTTTTCAGGGGCTCTTTAAAAATCTCTTTCACTGCCTCCCTCCTCTATGAATCTTCAGCCTCAGCTGTTACGCCACTTGACAATTAGCCATGCTGTTCCCGCTTGTGCATTGCTAAAAAACTTTTTCCTCCTTTTGAAAAACTTCTGAATACAAGTCTACTTCTGTTGCACAGCAGCCACGGGGGGAAAGTGTGAGAATAAAAAAAAAGAAATTGTAATGTGAAATCGTCTCAATTCTAAAGTGGCTGTGACCAATTCCCAGACGGAGAGAAAGCGTCTGTGTGATGGCTTTTGCTGCGTTGCAGCTTGAGCTCTGTCCCATCAACAGCAAGAATTGCGTCAGTTTTCCCTCTGGCCCAGAGTACCCCCTTCTCCACAGCGCAGACAAAACTCAGAGTGAGGCGAGGGAAGGAGGAGGCTTTATGGGGCACCTCTCAAAATCGTGCTGCCCATACCTCCTCCAAAGACACTCTGCAGATGTGTATTGATGTTAAGTGTGTGAGTGAAACAGGGAACTTTATGTCATTTCCAGCTCTTTGTTCTATCCCTGTTTGTGGTGTTTTGGTCAGAGCACAAAAAACTGGCTACAAGCAATACTGGCACAGATGGAAATTATAAATTTGTCGCGTCATAACTGGGCCTGGTAGATAAGCACACATGTTTGGAATCCAGAAACTAAGAAACTTTTTTATTTTGTTGTTAAATTGTTACTTTGGTTATATCACTTTGGTTGGTAATTGTACTAAAATGAAATTATGGCATCACCTAAAGGCATGCCTGCTGCCCATATCTTTCTGTTCAAAATAGTTTCGGAAACTTTTGATTTAAACTGTACCATACCATTTGGTCAAGACCTTTCATTGGGACTTGAAAAAACATTCATTAATCCTTAGGTGAACAGATCAAGAACAAACAGAGCAAAGAAGTAAAAATGCAAAAAAGCAAAAAAAAAGCGTGTTGACTGTCTAGAAATGAGAAATCAGTTTTCTGAACAGTGGGAACTTTTCATGTCTCTTTGGGTTTAGGGAACAAACAAGCACTTTCAAGAGCCCATAAATATTGAATACAGGATAAATGCAGGCCTGTTTGATTATGAAATGGAGGGTGTGTGGATGAGTTTAGCAGTACATGTCAGATACCCACAGAGTGCTCTGGAGTGTCTGGTAAAAGGATGCAAGGCATGGCAAAGTGGACCTAATTAGAGGGATTTGGAATGTATTTAAAAATGAATCGTGCTTCGTTGCAACACCAACAACAGCATTCACCACTTCTCTAAATGGGCAGCTGGCATGCAGAGGGCTTGTCACATTACAAAATACTCCCAGCAACATATGAATGGGAGGCCTGATTACTTTGTCACTAATGATTCATTGGCTCGCACAAGCACTCGGGCAGTGTAAATGCCTCTTGGGACAACCCTTCACTCTAGTCTGTGTTCACACCCATCTCGGCATCTTGACATTGCTGTTCCTTTCATTGTTTTCACTACAAAGATTTTCACAACATGTCATAACATCATTTCATCCTTCAAACAACATTTTCCATTTCCTGAAACAAGTTTCAACATCTTGTAAAGAGACCAGATATCAAAGTATAAGATATAAAAGTCAGGCATATTACAAGGAAACACCACTTGCAAAATGTATCAGTGTGTTTAGTCATTTGGCCCATTAACTATTGGCCCTTAAACATGAAGCAAAGTATGTTTTCATGCCTTAACACATGTGAATTTCCACATTTACCAGTAAGCAAATCTTCAGAAAATTACCTTCTCAAACTGTCTTGTTTCTAATATTAAGGCCTTATTTTTGCAGCACCAGATTTCTCTCCTGTTTGATTGCCTCTCACTGAGAAAATTTGTGATGAACCCCTACAACCTGAGGAATGTAATTTCAAGATCGCAATGGAATGTGATTAGAGTGAAATGGGTGAAACCTTCAGTGATAGAGTACGTCTCAGAGATGGCATAGCGATGAAAGGAAACATCTTAAGGGAAAAAATGCAGTCTGCTTTAATTGTGCAAAGCCAGCGTGAGAGATGGTGCTGTGAATTACGGCAACAGTAAACCACATAGGCATGCTCACAGAAAGAAATAAATTCAGACGCAGATACACAAACACATACACACTTAAGCATCGTCCTCTGCATATGAATTAAATCAAAAAGAAGAGCAGGGGCTTCTAAACTTGTTTATATGCAGATTTCCCTGTGTTGGGGTGATGAAAAACAGCAAGTACATGGAAAAAGACTTGCGCTATTTTTACCTTCAGATAAATACGATGTGGGACACATGAAAGCTGTTTGCTCTCAACGGCGACTAATACTTTCTTTGTTGGTTGCTCTTTCCACATCCATGGCCTTCCATTACATAGATTTGCAGGTAGCACAAAGATATGAAAAGGAATTAATCTCAAGTCTGTAATATACATACTATTGTCCTGTATAGCATGGTGTGTATCAGGCTGCTGCTGTATGATTGCTCTGTCTGGATGGAATAAGAGGTTAATCTTTGTGTGAGAGGGTTAGAAACAGGTTTTGAAAACCACTTGGCTCTGATACTTTCACTTCACCACTATAGGTTGTATGCTTTAATTGCTCTCTCTCTCTCTCTCTCTCTCTCTCTCTCTCTCTCTCTCTCTCTCTCTCTCTCTCTATCTCAGTCCAGGAGCCTAAGAATAAGCCTTGACTCGTATATGGTCAATCAGCATTGGCTGATCTAAGTTTTACCAGTGAAAAAGGAAATAGAGTCTAGTTCTCTTACACCATAATCCAGGCTACTGTCCCTCTCTTGTTAAGTGGGTGAACTGGCTGTAATGATGAGCAGTGTGTTAGACTCTGATAATTACGGGATGCTGTGGGGAGTTCTCCCTATCCTGTGTGCGAAATGTGGCAACGTATCACCTTTGTGGAAACTTTGCAGCTGCTCGCTGTGGGAGCCAAACCTGGCAACGCAGAACACCCCCACACTACATGATTGCAGATGTTGCAAGATGTAACTGTAGAGAAGGAGAGAGAGAGTTGCAACATGACTTACAATATGTTTGAGTGATTTGTGCTGAGGCAGATTACCATGTGAAATTACAAAAAAGACACACTCTTGTATAGATTACACATGCCTAGACTCACACAACAGTTAGACATACAAACCCATATTTCCTGCTTATGTAGATACTGGTAACATCTCTGTCTCTCTTAATTCCCCCAAACACACACTAATACACAATGTTTTCCCCTTGCTCTCCAGCTGGTAGCAGTATATGAAGAGCAAGATCCTCACAATGGAGGCGACGGTACCAGTGCCAGCTCCACAGGTACCCAGAGTCCTGAACCCTTCGCTAGCGATTTGAGTTCAGCATCAGCCTTCCAGCCCTACCAGGTCAACAGTGAGATCGAGGTCACTCCATCTGCTCTGCGATCCAGTGAGTCCAGTGAAAATATTATCAGGAAATTAGACCTTAAAACAAATTATCATTGTTGAATTAACAAATGTGAATGCTACATAGAACAAAATTAGCCATTACATACTCATTCCAATAATGTAGCTTTTAATATCAAGGTATCAAAGCAGTTTATTTATTATTATACAACCCAAGGTTGAATAATGAACAGGAAGTTTGTGGTCCCTTCATGCCACTCACACAGAACAACAGATAAATAAATGTATATTAAAATATGGCAACATGTAAAATAAATTAAATCAAATTTAACAATATATACAGATATTTATATATATATATATATATACTAACATGTATACACCTAGAAGATTCTGCAGTGGATTTTTTGAATTTGCATATGGGGTGAAAGTAAACAGCAGCAACAAGATGACAATATGGTATGATTGACTGCATTACAGCACCAAGCATCATCGGTGTAAAACACTGACTCCGCCTCTCAGACATCTTGCAACATGGTGATGATGAGCAGGTGTCTGTAAAGATGCTGGCACAACAGTCTCTGATTTCCATTGCTTGAGTCCAATTTCGTCCAGACCATTTAGGAGCAGCCTAAACTGGGCCAGCATTTCCTCTCCTCAAGGCGATCACCGCACCCAGTTGATCGGGCTGGGTGGATCGTTTAAGGTCTGCTGGTCTTTAATCCAAAACCTAGCTTCCTTTTCCAATGACTGTATTTCTGTAATAGGTAATTTGTGTTTCAGCAATAGCTGAAAAAAATTATGAAAAACAAAAGTGTAGCAAAGTTTGAAGAAGAAAAAAACAAAAACTTATTTACAACTTACTTCAATAGGATATCAGGGAGTTTGATGTGAATGTTCTACCTTGTAGCAAAAGGCAGTTGACATGGTTGATAAGCACCTGAAAGTCTGTGCTGGGCTTTTCAAAAACAGGATAAAGTAATCTATGCCACCAGCAGGAATTCAAAATGCAAACCTTTAAAAGGTCGGTGACATGAAAGCTGACATATATAAGCTCAAAGTTTGGAAACCCCAGCATAACAAAAGGAACTGTTTCTTCATGTGAAGACCAGAGAAGCTAAATCACAGCAAAACATTTGACTAAGCTTGGGTAAAGTTATATTATTGTTTTGAATCTCTCAGGCTGTCAGAATGCCGTATAAAGGACAGAATGTTTACAGCCAAATAATCTATGCAAGTCATGGGACTTTAGTTTATGAGCTTCGGTTCGACTGTGGTTCAGGTTGTAGAGCGGATTGCCCGTTAATCGGAAGGTCGGCGGTACAATCGCCGGCTCTTCCAGGCTGCATGTTGAAGTGTCCTTGGGCAAGATACTGAACCCCGAATTGCCCCTGGTGTCTGTTCCACCAGTGTATGAATGTATGTGAATGTTAGTTTCTGTTTGAGCAATTAGACTCAGTGTGTGAATGGTTATATAGTGTAAAAGTGGTTGAAAAGACTAGAAAGGCGCTGTACAAATACGGAGCATTTAAATCTGTAACTGGACAGAGGGAACCTCACTGAAACAAAACTAAAATGGAGTAAGTCAACTTTTTCCACTCAGGCCAGTGTCTGTTTTACTGGACATGCTTCAGGTGAGTCGAGTGGTTGTCAAGACAGTGCCGTGTGTCCAGGGAATAGCAGTGTATACTGATTTAGACAGACAGGTAGAAACTGAGACAACGGAAGGAATTGAGACACAGTTGGATACTCAGTCATGCATGGGCAAGAGCACACATGCCAGATGCAAGGTGGACATGCAGCACACCCACACACGGCACACACAACCAGACAATTGCACACACAAGTCAGTGACTCAGATGTTGCTCATGTCCACATATTCACGTCCCATGAAGTGGAACCGGTGAGCTGAATCAGAGCTGTCTTAAACTTCAAAGGACATTCAATCCAGAACTCACATCCGGGCATGGACTCACACATGCACATGAATACACGGAATAGACTTGATTCCCTGGCCCTGACAGAAGAGCGCATCCCAGCTTCCCTCGACCTGCCTGTTAGACTGTGGAGATTTATGGCAATTGTTCCAGAGAAGTGTGTAATGGCAATCTGGAAGTAAACCAGTAGCACAGACTGAGAGGCAGGTTTGTTTGAAGCTATCTGACCTTCAAACAAGCCTACATTTGAAGCATCACCTTGGGTTCTGAGAGATATGTTGGAGTCTTTCATCATTCGCACACACAAAGATGCTGCAGTACTGAGTAGCTTCTAAAACTGTTCATATGTGATGATCCTTCCATTGAACAAACTAGATTTAACACTGTGTTGGAAGCCTGTGCCCTGTCAAAGTGTCCTTGAATATGGCAATGAATCCCTGGCTCAATCCCAATTCGGCCCCTGCCCCCACCTCTGTGTGCGTGTTTGCATGGAGGGTTTGCCTTATTAAGGTTTGTCCAAAGCCAGTTTGTGTGCAGTGGAAGTGGACAATAAAATCCTCAAACAGGAGGTCTATCCCTAAGGGGATGGGCCGGTGCCGGATACTGCAGGAAACATCATCTCTGTTGGATTTCTTCTTGGTAAATAGCATTTTGGTCATAATCATCAACATAGCTACACCCTGCGTAAACACTGCATGCTAATGGTGAGTTTAAGATCACAGAATGAGTGGCAGGCAAATAAAATGAACCGTCACTTTGTCTATTGATTCATTTATTTGATTTGTCTCATATCAATATGCATGCATCAATCAGCTAGAGGAGACCGGACCATCTATTTTATTGTAGGGCTGTGCGATATGACTAAAAATTAAAATCCCAATATAGGTAATTTCATATCCCAATAACAATATATACCCTATATAGAACATCTTTTGTAAATTCAATGAAATACTAAGAACTCGTGATTTTTCTCTGCATCATAAAGGTGGTGTAAGCTATTCTGGAGAAATCTAACACCGGGACAAATACCACGATATAGAGTTAACAACAACACAGCAAGGAACGTAACTTACGTTAGCTAGGTTGTGGGTTAGCAAACTGATGCCACTTGCTGCTGCAAAGTAAACATGAGGGGACGAGATGGTCGCAGAGCAGCACAGTAGCTCCAGTAAAGTGGTGAATTAGCGACACAACGAGTAGCTACATAATATATAGTAACTTAACAGCTGAACAAGCATGGTGTCTTTTAGTTTTCATGGTAATAGAGGTGTGTTCACGGTGGAATGTGGTGAGTGCACGTAGAGCTACAACGATTAATGACGGATCAAAACTATTTTGATAATTGATTAATTGTTTCAGTAATTTTTAGTCCAAAAATGTCAAACATTTGCTGGTTCCAGCTTCTTAAATCTAAGAATTTGCTGCTTTTCTTTGTCATTTATGATAGTAAATGAAGAGTCAAAAGAAGCAATTTGAAGACGTCACTTTGGGCTCTAGGAGACTGTGATGAGCGTTATTTATCATTTTTGACATTTTAGAGACTAAATGATTAATCTATTAATCTTAAATATTATACAGATTAATCAATAATGAAAATGAGTTAGTAAATACTCTCCTTCGGTCCTCCACAGTTTTGAATGTGATTTCATACGACAGTAGGGCTAGTGAGTAGGGATCATTTTAGGAAATTGCTCCAATCTGCTGTTGTGTAGCTAAACCTCTGATCTCCCTGGATTCTAGCAAATACAAATATGAATAAAGTAATCAATGAGTTAATAAAGTAATGAACAACAAGCATGTCATATCACACGTGTTGTCATTCTGATTCCACAATGAAGAGCCTAGTAAAGCTCTGTCACAAACACACACTTCTAAACCAAGCCTGTCTCCTGCATGCCCTCTAAATTGTACATTTTGCATTCAAGATATATAATGACAAGACTGGAAGAAGAAAGGAAAACAGAGGACTGATTGCTTCCTACACACTACTTCTTTCATGGTGATGAGTATATCTGTAGCCTTTTTTCAGATATAATGACAGTGAAGATGATAGGTGGGAAAGAGAGGCAGGGGGCTGGACCTATGACTGATCAGGCAGTCAGAATGGTAAGGGCGATGATGTTTTCTTTTGTGGTAGTTTACATAAGTGTAGTGTTACCAACAAGATAAAAATGAGATTGCCTTGTTTACAGGATATGTTTGGTCCTTGGAGACTATACATAATGCACAGTGACTCTTCCCCACTGACAAATTCCAATTTCCACTCCAAAAGTACCTTAAAAGTTGTATATGTGTGTAGTAAATAAGAATTTTAATAGATGGACAGACAGACTGACTGGCAACAAATATATGCGGTCAGGCAGATGAACAAGACAGACAGGCAATGGTCCCCTCAGAGATGCAGATGAGCAAATTACTGGCAGCAATATTGCATATCAGACATTAAAGTGTTGCAGCGGTGCCCTTGGCAGCTGTGCTCTGAGACAGAGAATAATGGCTGTTTAAAATCATCATCTTTTAAAGCCATATTGATTGTTTTTTCTCCTCCTACAACTCCCAAAGCCCCAAACTATCCCTCTCGCTGCCTTTTTGTACTCCACCCCTCCCTTGCCTCCTCGTTGGGAGCCCATTTTAGATTTCCATGCTAACATGTGCCGTGCAGGTCAAACTGCTAATAATTGGATTGGAGATGAGATGTAAATTACAATAATGAATGTAATTTTCCCGTAATTATACGGAAGCTGGAGCTGCCTCTGCCTCTACTCACCACTAAATTCTAATCTTTTAGAAGTAAGAGAAAATGTCTCAAACTCTAAATTAACACTGCATCTTAATGGTGCTTGCAGCTTTGAAATGAAATGTTTTGTTCTTTGGTGCTCAAAGAGTTTTACAGAGGTCATTTTATTTGACCCATAGTTGATATATGATATATTTCTTACAGTCAGGTTGACATTTGTGAAAGTTTCCCTATGTTTAAATACTTTGTTGACAGTCTCTTAAATGTGGACATGGGGTCCTGAGGTAGAGAGATGGTGCAACAAGTCCTTGTTGGATTAATACCTATTTAAGGCTGAAATGAATGGAAGTAAAATATTAGAGAGCATCT